TACTCATCTCTAACTCCTCAGTGTACAAAACAACTCATCTTGGAGTAGATAACAACGAGCGGAACAAACATAACTGCAAAAGAATCGCACGGCAAGCAGTTCCCGCACGCCGCATCGTACGCCGCATCGCACGCCGCATGTCGTGTCGTCTGCTACCGGAGAGGAGAAAAAAAAAAGAAAAAAAAAACGCACGGTCGGGTGTAGCCACGTGACTTCCGCCAGTCACTCTCTTCTCTCCACTTCTCCGACCTCCGTCGGGTTTCGGTTTCGGTTTCGAGCAGTTGCGTCTTTTGGCTTTATTAAAGAAATACGCTACTCTGTTGCAAAATATTCATTGGGTAGTCCTCCGACACCATAATGAAGCGCCTGGCAAAAAATAAAAAAATTTTTTTGGGGGGTGTCAGTGTCCCTTTAACTGTTTGTTTAGAGCCCAGATTTTAGGAGCCCGTGTGCGGGTAGAGCGGCATCGGCGTAACCGCGCGTTGCACTATGGGACGTGTGACGTCACACGTGACGTCATGACTTACCCCCGTGAGGGTTACCCTTGTGAGCGTATGAGGGTAACTCTCATGAGGGTAGTCCTCACAAGGGTTACCCCGTAAAGGTAACCCCCGTGAAGGTCACTCGCGATGCCACGGGTGAAGACATTATGGGAAACACGTGTCGTGTGACGTCACTTTACGCACGACGTCATGTGACGTCCAGGCATATAACATCGCCAATATTTCCCCTAATTTTAGCGGGGAAAAAGGAGGCGCATACCCTTCCCTCCGTACCCTTCCCTCGTCCTCCTCAAGAGCTGCGCTCCAATTCGTCATTACAGAGAATTGTAAACGTCTTTCATGTTTTTGCTTGGACCGATAGCTTGTATTGATATATCACGCTGTATAACCTAAACCTGGGCGTCAATTTTCGGCTAACTTAAACATCGCGCAGTAATAAAACAAAAACATTAACTAAAAAAATTTCACTTTTATAATGTGAATAAAGCTACAATAGTACCTCTTACGAGTAAAGAAACTACGCTGATTGCTATTATTCTCTGGCGAAGATCAAAATAGCATGTACGTTTTCCGATAGGAATTCACGAGAAGACTGGAAAAGTAGACTGTTTGCAGATTGCTTCAATTTGCTATCGGAAGTCCTGCAGACTCTAGCGCCAGTTGAGCCTCTAGCGTTTATTGTAATAACTCTATGTTATTGAAGTATTATGTTCCTTCTCCTTGAAAAATTAGCATTTTTCGAGTACTCCTATTTGCTTTCATCATTTAAAAAAGCATACACATTTTGTAATAATAACTTTTGCAATCTCAACGAAAGGTCGCGTTTTCATTGTTCACATCTCGCCGGCTGCCGGAACAATGATGCTCCCGTCGCCGGAGATGACCTTGGTCTGTTCGATCTTTGATTGTGTTTTGTTTGTTTTTTACAGTGAGATCGGGAGCGTGTCGGTCGTGATTTATGAATTTCTGGGATGCTTAGAACCCGCAGAGTGAGTAATCGCTATAGCAAAATGATTTGCTGCCCTTGTTGGTTAAACATTACGCAAATAAAAAGCGCGAAATTCAAGGACAAGAGGGAGACTACACAGGACAAGCGCCTACTCGCAACTGACGTTCTAATTTGGAAGATGAGAAAGACGAAGACATTAAAGACCCTAACGTTAAACATTACAAATATTTATGAGAAAGGAGCGAAAGGATTTGAAAAGACTGAGAATTAAAAAAGGTAATAAAGAAAATTAGTAAAAAACGAAAGGAAACGGTGGGCATGATTAAAGTAACAGCGAAAACAATGACAGTGAGAACATTATGGAGAAAAAAGAACAAAATGGTGAGTTGGGCCAGTTGGTTCATAATGGAAAAAGACAAGCGCCGAAAGACCAGGACCTTGTGTTGCGCCTTGTGTTGTCGTCTTCTTACTCTGTCCTGGTCTTTCGGCGCTTGTCTTTTTCCATCGAGAAAAAAGAAGGTAAAGCAAATTTAAGAATTTAAGCAAACTCGCGAGGTTTTTGAGGCTGAAGTCATTGCGACCAAAGGAGACGCCTGCATCAGAGCTCCATCGGTGACTTTGTCATCAAAAGAATTAGAGTATATGAAATATTTTCCCTAGGTGTTCTTAAAATTGCTTTACCTTCCTCTTTCTCTTTCTTCTTAGTTTTTTTCAATGTCATTTTTTTTCAGCTTCTTTAATCATGCCCACCATTTCCTCTTGTTTTTACTCATTTCCTTTATTACTTTTTTTTAATTCTCAGTCTTTTCAGATTCTTTCGCTCCTTTGTCAGAAATATTTGTAATTTTAAACTTTAGAATTTTTAATATCTTGGTCTTCCTCATCTTCCGAATTCAAACGTCAGCTGCGAGTAAGCGCTTGTCCTCTGTAGTCTCCATCTTATCCTGGTCTTTCGCGTTTTTTTTATTTTCGTAATCGCTATATTTAGGCGATCTCAGAAACCTCGACAGGGCACCTTTAAGTGGTTATAAAAGTTTGATTATATACTTTTTTTTATTACTCGGCAATAAAGCAAATTCTTTGAAGCGAAAAGCGCTCTCCACACTCGTAGTCGAGAGAATCTGTTGGTGAAAGTTGTCCGAAAACGCACAAAGCGTGATCCCTGAGGCACAAGACGGGAGATGTCGCCCACTTCTCGTGTGGCCATTCTTGACCAGCGGGTACCAGCTCGAACCTTTGAAGGCACGCATCCAAGACATTTGTTTTCTCATCGGAAGATGAAATGAACTTTTGTGGACTGATCGTGACAGAGCGTTTGTGTAACCACGTTTTTGTATGCCGTTCTAGAGAGCTTCGCTTCCAGATATGTTTGTCCAATCTCTGCCAACCTGAGGTTCAGTTAAAGAGTCTGTTGTTCTAGAGCTGGGTGTTCAATGTTCCCATACACAACTCGCCTTCACTAAGACCAAGCGTCTCTCCCAACTAATTTAGCCCTCTCGTCTTCATTTTTCGAAGTTGTATGATAAGAGTATTCATTGTGTCTAGTCCTTCGCGGACGCTAATGTAAGGATGTTTCTGTGGAAGAGATGTTTGACTTCGTAAGATGAACGAAACAAGGACCGTATCCGTATACATTTTTGTAATCGAGTTCAAAAGATTTAAGCAAATGGGAAAGGAAAACGTGCATAATAAAACTTCCAATACTACATAGTGTCAAAATACACCGAGATTTCCCGAGAAGCGATAACCGTGTTTTTCGGGAGGGGTTAAAAAGCGACGCATCGTACTATTCTCAAACTTCATGAGTTTGGATACAACACGAATTTCAAAACATGTCTTTACCTGGATTAAAAGATAATTGCGAAAAACGAAGTTTCTCTATGAGCCGACGTCCACCTAAGCCTAATTTCACCAAAAATAAAATTAACACTGTAGGCAAAAACCCAAAAACAAAATTGACTCTATATCGGTGAAACAGGCTTGTAAGCAAGGAAGCAATCGATATTCTATTTCTTGCTAACAGGCGTTTTTCACTGGTATACATCCCACGAGCGTTCACAATAATCTTGCTAACATATGTTAGCAAGAAACACAATATCGATTTCTTCCTTGCTTACAAGTCTGCTTCACTGGCATAGAGGCTACAGGCGCCCACAGTGTCAATTTTGTTTTTGGTGAAATTAGACTTACATTGAAAGTTCGTTTTTCGCAATTATCTTTATTATGCACGTTTTTCTATCGATAATAGTGCCATTAGGTTTGTTTTGCTAGTTATTTTACAGTTTGTCACACAGGGAGTATTAAGAAAATGCACCACCCACTTTCCATGCTAAAACGATAACGAGCGCTTTTTACTTTCGCGCGTTAATATTCGTTCAAATTAGGGTATTGAGACTGACAACAAAAAAGAGAAGGCTATGCTGATCACAGTAAAATGTATCATACGAAAAAAAAAGAATCAGAGCATGCCACAGTTTTTCTTTGTAAACGCACTATTACATCAAACTTATCAGGAGAGGACCTAGAGAAATTCGTGTCTCTGATACCAATCATAAACGTAGCTCTCTCTTATATTTCGTCGAAGTATCATAATTTATTTAGAGGTTTTAGTCATTGTAATAGTTTTAATGGTTTATAGTAAATGTTTAACACAATGACCTCCTCCTGGATCCTCATAATTGTGCAACAAGTGCAAAATATCTACCAAGCCACTGAACATGTAGCTTAAAAGACTAGTATTTCTTAACCTCTCCTCGACATGCAATGTTCTTGATATTTTCACCAAAAACATGGTGATTTATTTCATCGTACGTCTGAAAATACTGGAAAATGACTAAGAATGCATCATTTCCCATCCAATAGAAAAATGGCGCGTGCATGGGCGAGTTGCCATCGCTCGCGGTTTCCACGCAATGTTAAGAGATTCAAACCCCGCAAGCCTATTTTTTTATTCTGATTCTTTAAAAAACCTCTCAGAAAGATGAGTTAGTTTCAAAATTTATCGCCGTTCCAAGCATGTCTCGCGGCGTAAATATTCCAGTAATTCTTTTAGGACTTGTAGTACGTGACGAACGATTCCTACCAAGGAACTTCAAAAATGTTTTATAGTCAGAGTCCCTTTCTGCGCAAAACCCGAAAAAGAAAAACCACGAAGTATTTTCTCCTTCTTTCAATGGATGCATGTTTCTGACATCATCTGTTTATGTTCAATCGTGTGAATTCCTATGTAGTCTATGTAGTCCGTACACGACACCTCCGTAGGCCGATTCTTCCCATTAAGTAGCATTGCACGTCTACTTGCCTATCACGTCCAGTTCGAAGAGAATGTCAGCACTCCTCTTTTAACGGCTTTGAGCAGATCACTGAACTTGTCTCCGGCAAAATCAACATGAATCAGGCAAGGCTCTCGTCAAAACAATCTTCGCGCGTGATCCAAACACGCATACTTTTAGCCTGCAAAAGCTGCGCCTGGGTGTTATTTGATAGAAAGCTCGCCCCGCCTAGTCGGTCTTTTTTTTCCCCTCCCCTTCCCTTTCTGAGCGAATAAGATGTATAAAAAGAGCGGCCAGTTGCTGTTTTTCACTACCATTTGTGCAGTCTCAGCTGAACAACAAACCATGATGTTCGCCGTAAGTATTCGTTTGCCACATTTCTGTGGCATATAAAAAGAGGTTGTTGTTTAATTAGTGATGTAAATCCCACTTGAATTCGGCTTCACAGCATTCAAGCACGAAAATGAAAACGTTTTACATTTCAGTGTGATTTCGATTTATAATATTTACAACAACAAATTACGTTTACAGCTATAAAAAGAAACAACCAACACCGTTTCATTAACCAATCGTTTTGATCAGAATAATAAAAGTGTTCTACCTGTTTGCTCGTGAAATGTCCTCACTGACAACCGATATTAAAACTGCTACAAAAGTCACTGTTGTGAAACAACAAAAAAGAATTTAGAAGGAACGTTTGATGTCAACCTTGCGGTTTGGTTAAATTCACTTGAAGTTTAGGCATATATTAAATTTTACTATAATTTTTTACTTCCAGTTCCGTGCCTCCCTTCTCGTGGCTGTGGCCAACTGCGCCTTTGCCGGCTACGCCAGTCCTTTGTACGGCTACAGCGCCCCGTTGGCAGCCTACCACGCCGCCCCAGTGTACAGCAGAGTCGTGGCCCCAGCCGTCACCGCCGTCCACCACGGAGCAGCTGTGTCCCACGTGTCGAGCGTGAGCAGCTACCGCAGCCAGCACCCCGTGGCCACCCCGGTCGCCCGCTACGCCTCCGTCCACACGGCACCGGCTGTGGCCACTGTCCACACCGTGCCTGCGGTTGCTAAGGTCGCCGCCTTCGCTGCCCCCGCGTTCTCCGCTGTCCACGCGGTCCCTACTCATGGCTACGGCCTCGGATACGGCTACGGCCTGGGAACTTACGGACTCCGTTATGGTCATGGCCTGAGTGCCTATGGATATGGTCTTGGGCACACTTGGTGATTTCAAGTCATGTGAAAGGCAAGTTATTGATCATTTGTCCACGAATTGACTAAAGAAAAACTCTTTTAAATACTAAAAGTCACTGTAAGACTTTTTTTCTTCTGTTCGTGCTCTACAATAGTTAGCAAAGTGCTTGGAATAGTCTAAGATACACAGCGTCCCTTACTCGCATTTTTTTTCCCGTTTTGCTCTCTATTTGGGCATGAGCTCAATACGAAGGGTCGGTAATTCTCCATCTAGAATGATGCAAAAAAATTGCCGCTCACTGGAACGCATGCAAAATCAAATTTATCTTTCGCTTTAAACAATATGTATTAAGCGGATATTATTTTATATTACGTTGTTTTTTTATTATTATATTGCGAGTTAAGAGGATTGCAAGCAAACACAGTAACTCCATGGAGCTCACGTTAACTCGCTATACAAACCGAATCCCTAAATCACCGAGCTTTGCCGTAACTTCCCCAGCACTCTTGTTGATTTCGACATAAAACGTTACACGCAATTTTGCAAGCCTCAATGCCTAGTCTCTAATCTTGTGAATGCTTACCACAGTAAAGGCCGGTTCTCACATGCAGCGAAGCGCTGATGTAGCGCTCCTCACGTGCCGTCAGCTACTTATCGTCTGCCATGACCAACAGTTTTGACGGTGCGATACAAAGCTGGTGAATGCTCCCGTCAGCACGCGCTTTGCGCGAAGTCAGCGCTATGCTTGTAGCGCTCCGCTGCATGTGTGAACAGGCCTTTAAGCAGTCGACACGTATACGGAAGCACATTGCATCAACAGCGAAATAATTGTCTGCGATTACGGCCCCGCAACACTAGACGACCTCGATCCATTTCGTGTCTGATGAAATTGTATTGTCATTAGACAATTCGCGCACTTTGTAGAACCATAAAGTATAAATTGCTTTTTTTTATAATTTCATTTGTCTTTATGCCCACAGAAATGGAACAACTGCATGCTAGTGGACAAGAAGCAAGTACAACTCGGAAGAGCTTTGCCGACTTGACCTAATAAAAGAAATAATTGCGGGGACACATTTGGTGTTATTGTATGTTTCCGAATTTTACACTTAACCATTGCCCCTATTTGTTTAGAAACATTTATTTCTAAGGAAATTTCATTAGAGAGAGTTTCGAACAGATATGTACAAATTACTCAAAAAAGGTAGTTAAGTTAAGTTACTGAGTATCGACGCCAAAAGTAATTGGAGTAGAGTAGAAATTACGCATTTGTAATAGTAATTGAGTAAACTACTAACTACTGTAAAAAGTAGCGAGTTACTTTGAAGTTACTATCGAAGTTACTTTTTTTATATTTTTGTGGTAGCAAAATGAACAGCAGTTTTGATCAATGAAAAACCCTGCGAGCCTAAAATTAATGCAGTCTATTTATGGCGTGCGTTTTCGCCAAAATAGTTTATTCGCTCGCAGAAGCAATGGACTTTCAAAGTTCTTGATAGGAGAATTTTCCCTTTTTCCTTTTAAAGACGTCCCTAGCCAAGCTAAAAAGACGTTCCACCGACGGGCTGGATGGAACGGCAGCGTTAAATTTTAGAAACAGGCTGTGCAGGGTCGGGTAAGCAGGTGTCCGCATCCCAGGTGTCCATGACGAAACATGTGAGGTTTGCCTCGGGCAGAGTGTCTTTTATAGCAAACTGTCCCCCTTTTTTCTTTTTTCTTCGTCAAGTTAAGATTGTTATGACTGGCCCCTCTTTATTCCGACGTCGTTCTGAGAGTACGCTGAGCGAGTGCACCAGACCGTCAAGGGTTCAAGTCTCGCGCCACGACGATGAGATCATCCGGACGACTGCGCGTCCCGTTGTAGTGCTAGTGCTACACTACTGAAAAAAAAATTGTGTTGGTTTAACAGAAGATGAACCGAAGTATACTTCGCCGCTGACGCCGGGTCCAACAAAAGGATCTCCCAAGGGTAACTCGCAATCCTCGCCGGCGACTACAATGTTCTGACGCGCCTGACACGCCTGACAAGTAAATCGTTTTTAACAAAGAGGAGGTCTCTCAGGCATGGATGGTCGGAAGGACGCGAAGGATTACGTGAACAAGCATCGTCGCTCGTATACAGTTGCAGCTGGAAGCGGGAACGTGCTCCCATGAACGGATTATCCTTACCAGGGTTTGTGCGCGGGGGAGTCCGGCTTTGCAAAGGCGTATGCGCTGACGACAAGGCGACCATGGGAACAGGCGCCCAGCTGCGAGGTCATTCCAGTGGCGCCTCCAGCGGGACCTACCGCTTGAGTCAGAACTCACTAAAGACAGACAAAACGAAAACAACAACTCTAGGAGTGTCCCCGTCTTTCACGGTTGCGGCTGAAAACGCGGAGCCTGCGTGCATTACCGGATTAGGTCAATACCCGACCAAGGCTTGTTAAGCATCTCTTCCTGCGTTCGTGCGTGCCGGTGTTATGTTTTGGCTGCTCGTCGCCACCTTGGCCCAAGAACGCCTTCCCGAACAAGGGGGCCCTTGTTCGGGAATGCCACTTCATATGCCGGCGTCTTATTCATTTCTGCGCCCAAACTTTCGTGATGGGCAAAATTAGCACTATATAATTTCCTAAGTAGTTAGTACTTTGAGTAGAAGTTAAATGAAAAAAGTAGTTAAATTAAACTACTAATTACCCAAATCAAGTTGTAATTGAAAGTTACCAAGTTACTCGAAAAAGTAGTTAAACTACAGTAGTTTGAGTAGAGTAGTTGAACTACGTCCAAGTCTGGTTTCGAATAACTTCTAAATAGGCTTTGAAGAGGACATATAACGTAATATACGGGCCCTCTCGACACCTCCCAGTTTACAAAGCCGTAATGCTGATAGAGTTGTGGTCATCAGCGAAGACCAATGCTGGTCACAAATTGGATGCAATGATTGCGTCAACGTTCGGCTCAAACTTGACTCGAAGCCGAGCGCTGAGGCACCACTTGTTTCCAATCTGTGTCCAGCGTTGGCATTCGCTGGGGACGTAAAAATCTCAGCACTACGGCCTCGTCTTCCAGGCGGTGTTAATCGTCTTGAATATAAAATTTCTGCAGGATGGCTTGGACATTATCTCAGAGTGGTGCATCATGTGGTTAATAAAACGTATTAACCAGACAGAAACTAAAATATTCACCACAAAACGATATTCCACTTCAGACACATACTTTATCGAAAAGGATGCTATGGAAAATGTTTCATCACTTAAATATCGTGAAGTTCATCTTTCATCTGATATTGCCTATTTTACATACGAAATAAGAAAAAAATAGCGCGGAGCACAGAACACTACAGCATGTGAAATGTCTCGTGTTCAGTGCTCCGTCTTATTTGTTTATTTTTTTTCGTGTGTAAATTTGACTCTTTCCAACACGCTCGATTTTTAATTAATGACATTGCTTGGCACATTCACTTTCAACTTATTACCAACAAAGTGTCGAAAACACTTGCCTTTCTCAAACGAACACTTTTCGAGGCAAACGAAGAAAAAAAACTCAATGCCTACACTGATCAAATCACATCGCAACTGGATTATACATCTGTCATATTGCGTCCTCGCCCATCATATCTCAAAGATAATATCCAACGCTGCAAAACAAAGTCGCTCGATTTACAGTTCGTGACTATCTCCGCTTTACCTTTGCAATCAGTAGAAAACATTGTTCAACTTATCTGCCTTAGCTGTTTAGCTTTTAGTGATGTTTTCTTCTATTTCTGACACACTATACATTGCCCCATTTAGACCACCTTTCTAAAATTAACCTGATATACGCACGAAATGACATGTTCCAAAATTAGACTTTTCTTGCCATTTCGGATTAGAACAGCTTTCTTAGAGAAATTGCCACCATCAGTGATAATCAGTCTTTTTTTGCCGCCCTTAAACGTGATGACGCATGACTATGTTAAGTTGGATTTCCATTTTCGTCTAGCCTTTATGCGCATATCCTTATGCGTCGCTTGCTTTTCATTGTTGTTTTTCTCAACTTATTGTACTATGTTCCAGCCTATGTAAAGCCAGTATTAGGGCCTTTAGAGTAGATAAAAGAAAATAAAAAAAAATAACTACTTCTACTGCGTGTCATGAGACCTACACTTATAATCTATAAATAAAATGACATCTACGAATATCTTACGAATATGTAAACCATGGGTTTCTTTCTTGTAATTTCAAATGGTCTACTAAAAAAACGCGAAATGGAAACAAATGCAGTCTGTGCATGTGGCATATACTGTCAGGAAGACATACCATAGCGGGCTAATGATCACAACCCGAATAATTATTTCAGATTTGCTAATGAATGTTTAATCATTCAACGTAAAGATACGACTCAAATTAGAACGTCGTGGAGCTTCCTCAGAAATCTCTAGCTAAATAAGTAAATTCTTGACGCTTGAAGCACGTTGGGAGCACGGGGGTGCACTAAAATTACCCGTAGTGCAAAAGGCGCATGGCTAGCATTGCGAAAATGCACATGATAACCTTATTATCCGTCTTTTCGCACCACCAGCCTTGCATTTGTTGCACAAGTGAGTGGACAGAATGAAAACGCCAATGCGTATGTTGCGAACATCTGGCCCCCAATAGGCGCTACATGTCTCCCGTCGTGGTTTGGATACCTGCCCGTTCTAGGTGCACGACTCGCCGAAGCGCTGTCGAAGGTAGCAAGTTAGCGCGTGATTTCGAAAGTCCGGCCTTCCGGCCTTCCTGCCTTCCTACCTCTCTCGCTTTGTGATTTTAGCGCGCGAGTGTTCCTAGTGGGAAGTCAACGAGCCCATGCGGGAGGCGGAACTTTTGAAAGATACGCCCTCCTGTTCTTGTTCTGTCAGAGACTTTACTCTAAAAAAAGGATGTGCGTCAACTCTCCCGTAATACACTCGGAGAGCCAATCACCGCAACTTAGGCGGGGGGGGGGGGGGGGGGCAATTCAGCGAATGACGATGCTGAAAGATATGTTTAGACCAAAAAAGGCAGTTTGAGTTGTGACATTAAGCAATGCAAACATCACGTTTTGCATTGCCTAATGTCGCAACTCAGACTGCGTTTTTCGCTCTAAACATATGTTTCGGCGTCGTCATTCGCTGAGCTTTCTCCATAAGTTGCGGTGACTGGCTTTCTGAGTCTAGTGCGGGAAAGTAGACGCACGGGCTTCTTTACAGTGCTGCCCCGTTTCGATGAGAAGACTCAGTGTCTGCTGGGCCCGGCAGAAGGCACGAATTAATCACCAAACGTCGCACCAGGCTCGACTTCAAAATCGCCGAATACAACAGGAGCTGCTTTAAGAAACATTTTCGTACGTCACAGTTCCAATGAAGCCTTGCTTTTGCTGCGGCATCAATTCCGCTTAGAGTTTGAATTTGGGGTACATGCTGGGTTGTCGTAGTTTCACTTCGGCAGGGCGTATTTATTCGGCTGATTGCCCAACATAGAAACAAAAAAAGAGATTTTTTGTATTTCTATTTTTCTGCGTTTGTAGAAATTATTGAATTTGTCAACTTAATTATACTGGAGTTCTCACTTCTCATAACGATGAACAAGAATATATAAAAAGTTTAGCTTTTAAGCGTTTAGTATATTCCAGCTTTAGTGAACGTGCTTCTAAACAAAACTTCTTTTTTTTATTTCATAAGCTAGGAAGTACAGGCTGCGAATTCACAGCCTCCACACTCTAAAAAAAGCCCACGCGTCTACTTTTCCGCGCAACATTCGAAGAACTAATCACCGTTACTTACAGAGGCAGCTCAGCTAATGGCGATGACGAAACATATGTTTAGACCAAACAACGCAGTCTGAGTTGTGTCATTAAGCAATGAAAGCGTGGCGTTTTGCATTGCTTAATGTCACAACTCAGACTGCGTTTTTTGGTCTAAACATATGTTTCGGCAACGTTATTTGCTGAGCTGCCTCCGTAAGTTTCGGTGATTGGGTCTCGAAGTAATGTGTGAGAAAGTAGGCGCACGAGCTTTTTTAGAGTGCAGTATCCTTTATCACTATATATTAAAGTATTTATTTAAAGCCCTGTTTTGCACTATATAGGCACGAACC